TGGGACAATAAAAAATGGAAATTTACACATATTAATAAAAAAAACCTTTGTGAAAATTTGAAATTATTTATTCCTCTTAATGTCTATCGAAAGTGAAATCATATGTGTTCTTATGTAAGAATTACTTGGCAAGAATTGTTTTGCACATCAACATAGATATGAGTAATTTCATTTGATGAGTGATGAATTGACGTCAAATGATTGCTATCTTTATTCAGTACATCTACTGTCCCACATTTTATTACGTTAGCATGCCACTTCCTCCGCGATAAATTTTATGTATGTCTCATGTGATTGTGATAACACGGCCACCACCACATCAAATGACACAATCGATTTAAATCGCAAAACCAACAACTTCAAGCCCATGTAATTGATGTATATTAAAAGGTTTTTTTTTTTTTTTTTGATTTTTTTCTGTTTCAACAAAACATCATGGCTTAATTAATATTCATTTGCGGTAGTCTCCGGCAGTGACAGCTGCAATGCAAGTTTTAGCCATTTAATGTGTGTACACGATTTGGGTCGTGTCACTTTCTATTGAACCAACAGAGCTTTCAATTTTTATTGAACATACAAATTTGTAATTAAAATCGAACAAAATTACATTAACTCATATTTATTAGTTATTGATTTTTTATGAAATAACACAACCGCACCCGCAACGCATGTGGCTTATTGACCCCTTAAAAAAAATGGGCAAAAATATGACAACAGTCAGTATGTTTATATCACTTTCAACCGGGGATAATTTTTTTTTTTTTTTTTGGTAATTTTGTCTCGAGTTTTAATCAAAATTGAAAACAAAATAATCGGCTTTTTGTTTTGCGATATGCAAAAAAATAAAAAAAAACAAAAGGGTTTATTGATACAATGTTTTCCTTTCATGCAGTGAAATATTGTATTTATTTATAAATGCATATCAGGTGTTTTAGCGTATTTAATGAAAGTCATAAAATATATTTCACATGAATAGCATTTTTATAACAAAATAGTAAATAAATAAATTATGTAATTTGTTTTCTGCATCTATACTGATTTATTATTGTGTTCATCACTGAATGCATGGAGATTTTGAGCAATTGCAATGAGTTTCCCCATAATTTGAGAGTATTTATGGACTTAGTTAGGAGAGTCGCGGTAAACGATTTAAAGAGTGTTAAATACACATGAACAGAGTAAACAAATAAAGGGAGCATTTGAGGGCGATCAAAAAAGAGAAGGGGTGCTCAAGAAGAAATATCTCTTTTCAGTCAAATTTCTCTTTGCTTATTTAAATCAAGAACAAAACAGTGTTAAGTCATTATTTATACAAATATTTTTTATCCATTTGCTTTATAAATAATTTTGACAAACATTCATGTTTAAAAACAATTAAATAGAACCGTAAAATATAAAGAAAAACAGAATTTTAATTTTCTCTTAAATTATCTCTTTTTTTCTCTTCATGTTCTAGAACACGGTTTTGAGCACCGCTGCTCTAAAACATTGAAGCATTAGAAGATTGTAAAAGAGTTCATTTCTCTTTAATATTTCAAGGAGGGTGTTTAAAATTATTCCAGAGACAGCTCATTATATTGTTTACAATCGTTCAAAAGCATTTTTGAGATAATTTTTCAGGAAAAAGTTATTTGGGATGGAATTCAAGCGCGTTAGTGTGATTTCTTTATATTTGGCTGGAAAACCATTAGTGGCTATAGTTAGAGCACTCCAGCATTTAAATGTGAATAAATCTTTTGTGTCTCGTACCATCGCTTGTTACCCTGATACTGGTAGCGTAGCCTGACGTCAAGGAAGTGGACGGAAGAAAAAAGCAACATCAGCAGAAATGGTTCGAAAAGTAAAGAAGCGACTTGATCAAAACTCGCATCCCAGTGGAAGAAAAATGGCTCGCGAGCTGAACATATGGCAATATTCCATTCGACAAATATTGAAAAATGAGCTCGGGGTAAACCATTGAAATTCCAAAAAGTGCAAGAACTTATACCGCAACAGAAAGAAAATGGACTCAAAAGAGCTAAAGAGTTGCTTCGCTTGGCCGAAAATGGTGAACTGCCGAATTTGATTTTCTCCGATGAGAAAACATCCCATTCCACCATCGCACTCAGCACGAGTCACCCAAGAATGGTTACAAAATGAAAGTTCCTCGCTTCATTTCCAGCGCACAATGGCCACCAAAATCTCCGGATACCAATCCGTTGGACTATTTTGTCTGGAGTATTATGGAAAGCAAGGTTGGCTCTAAAAAATACCAAAGTGTCGATCACTTCAAGCATGCGCTTCGCCGGGAATGGGCCAAAATACCACAGAGCAACATTCGGGCAGCGGGTGACGGTTTCATTGGTCATTTGAACCAAAGATCTGTACCAAAGATGACCAATTAGAATAAATCTAAACTTATTCTAAAATTTTGTGCTATTTCCGGCATTTTTGCTTTCATTCAATAAAATTAAAAATAAAAAAATTTAAAAATAATAGCGTTTGACTTTGTTGTAGTTTTTTTTTATCTCACCCTGTTAAAACCTCAAAAGTCTGAAAATTTAGTACGATATATGAAGTTTTGAATAAAAATTTTTGTTAAACTGAAAAAATTGTGCATTTTGAGAACTAAATAGGCCTAACTCGAACTTTTGGAACGCTTCTAAAAGGTGGTAAAAGGTACGAAGGTAACTGTTTTAAGGTCGACTTTTCGCTGACGAAGTGCGATACACATGCAAATTTTAAATATTTAGCGTCAAAATCTTGCCAAAGAATGTGAAACAATTCTGGTCACATTAAATGTGACCATATTTCAAAATATACCATGTATATAGGATTAACATCAAAGGCATAATAACATAATGGTTTAATGTCGAAATAACTTTAATTCACATCAAATTAAGATAAAGCCCAACTAAAATACATACACAAAACATTCGTCTGGTTCTCCCACAATATATTACAAAACAGGTCTGTTAATCTTCCCAAAGCTTTAACAATCACAACAAACTAGAGATTAACGCCGGTCAACCCACTCCATCACTCTCGATTTTATCTCAGTATATTTCATCACATCTGTTGTAATTCCTAGAAAAACATATAATTAGATTTTATTTAATAGAATTATGAAATCAATAACTCAAAAATTCCCAAAGACATACATTTCAATAATTGGACACAGATCTTCATGAACACTGTTCGAACCAGTTCATTTGGCCGCCAACATGTTTAGAAAGTCTACAATTCTTTTCATTTTATAGCTTTATTTGACCGTTTTGCAAATCATTTTTCACTCTACTTTTCTAGGTGATCATGTATATATATATGTATATTGACCAATTTCGCCACGAACTGTTCTGGCAAACAAAAAAAAAAAAAAACAGAGAAAAAAAGTTATTTAATACATAAAGACTGCAGCGAAATGGTTTATTTGCCAAGTAATCGCAACCAGTTTCCGTGGCCATAGACATCAGACAGGATTACTGTTCTTTTTGGTTTTTGGTTTTTGTTTTTCTAATCTGCAATTTAGATAGAATTACTTGTAAATAGTTTGGAATTAATACAAGTATTCGGAGCTATGTAAGTATATGTGAGCAGGTGGTATGACAATGAGCGCATTTTTTGTTGCAGGTAAAAGTAATATTAATTGAATGGAAGTAAAAGCTCTTAAGGTGAGAGTACATAAAACGTTTTTTTCACTGGATTCTTCGTAAAAGAACAAAGGAGCGTAGGGTCAAAATCGAACTAGGTCAACCAACAACTCCTTTGTTATTTTAGGTTGACTTAGCTCGATTTTGACCCTACACTCCTTTGTTCTTTTGCTAAGAAGCCAGTCGATGACTTAAGCCATTATTATTTATGTATTCTCACGTTTAGATTTTAAGGTAATTCAATTCACCTTTCTGTCCTCGTAAGGGTGGAAATACATAAAGCGCATATTTGGCTGGATTAAGTCATCGGCTGACTTCTTCGTAGATGAACAAAGGAGTTTTAGGTTGACTTAGTTCGATTTTGGCCTTAGGCTCCTTTGGTTATTTCCAAAGAAGCTAGCCGATGAATTAAGCCAGCCATGTATTTCCACCTTAAAGCTTTTCGATTCGCTGGGCAGAAACATGCAGGCGCTGTGTAACAGCTTTACAAAACTTGGATAGTTTAGCTAGTGGCTTTGAACAGTATCTATTGGAGCAGAAGTAGAAAATTGCCGAGTATTGATGCTAAGATCGAAAGAGTGTATAAGTTATTTGATATATTATATCGAGTCCGACAATAGCTGCTTAAGGGCTCCTTGACGTGGAAATGTATAGTTCGTTGTTCCTCGTACATGTTTTTATACAGAACATTGGAGAAATACTTTAGGCTAAAGCAGATCAAAGCATAAATCGTGACTTCGGCGAGAAAATACAACCCTGTTGCCCTTCCTATCTGCACGAGACATGGAAGTACATAACTGTCGTCAGTTACAGTGTTGTATTTTCAAGCCGAAGTTAAACAATCTTTTGGTCTGATTTAGCCTTTTGTCCTTACAAGATCGTTAACTATTAAACATGTGTGTGTTACGGCATAAGTTATCGTCATGGCTTTTTCGTAAAAGAAAAAAGAACTTTAGGGTGACCTAGTTTCAATTATAAAAACGGCGTCAAGGTCAATTAAATAACAAGGTGTCCCTGTAAATTTAAAAAACCAGATGAAATGTCAACAATTGTTTGTTTATCTCTTGGTAGAATTAAGAAGGTAAAGTAATGCAATCATATGTTTGCAATTTTTTCCAAAATTATTCATATGACATTAGACAATAAGATGTCAAAATTTATATTTATAAATCTATTGATTACTCAAAAACACAGATGGGAACCTGTTTTTATTCAGTGAAATTTGACAAGGTAAATTACAGAAAATGCAGAGATGGATAATCTTATTTGAAATGACTTTACCTTCTTGATTTTACCTGGTGTATTCACCCCTTTAAGACTTTTGTTTACATTTGAAATAACTTACTTTCTTACCTCTCTCCTTTCTCGCAGCTAATAGTTTCCAACAACATATAAACAACAAACATGACTTCAACGTGGCTGTGCACCAAAAACACCTCAAAAATAGCTTTATTCACAATAGCGCTTACGGTGTTGATAGCTGTGGCGAGCACAGACTCCAACTCCATGCCAAATGCAGATACATCCGCCACACCAGTTGTAACAACGACAACAACAACCACACAACATACCAATTCATTGGTCGATGATCTGGAACATGAAGAATTCATTGATACCGATTCACAGCAACCACATTCGCGTCGAAAACGTTTAATTTGGATTACGGATGATGGACGATTGGCATTGCCACCAGGTACTGCGTTGACGTTTACACCAACCATATCTATGCCATTGGTAAGACATCCTCCGGAGGGATTCTTTTCAAATCTGACCATTAGTTTTCCCGTAACAAGTGAGTTGACATTGATATTTCGAAATCTTTAAAAATAATATTTTATACATCCATTTGCCAGTCGATTTTGATAAGCTGGGCTTGACCGATAACCAAAATCCTTTGGGTGATTTGCCACCCATATTTGCACGATCCTTTGGCCATTCAGCCGGTGAAATGTTGGGCGACTATGTGACCAAGTTGTTGCATTTGAAACGTAAACGTGACTTAAGCGAACAGAATAAAGTACCCACATCAAGTGGCCACTTCAAAGTTGAACAACAACAAATCAATGCCGAAGAACAACCAGAATTTCCACAATTACCAGAAAGGTTTAAGCACATATTCCATGGTGGAGAAAGGTAAAAACATGATCATAGATGTCAACATCAAAACATGATATTGAAGAGAAATGATAAGTCATGTAACCTTTTTATTTTGATTTTTCCAGAGTCATTTTATATGGAGTGGTGGAGGACTTTTTGTCCACATTCGGCATGAATGGCAAGGCTTGTCTCTTGCGTACAATTTGTGAGGTGCACTCAAGATCAGTGGATCATTTTGGTGTTTTTGGTGAAATGGCGAAGTTGTTTTTAACGTAAGTATAGAGATTTCGGGGTAATAAAAATAGAATTAAGGTAGCTTGTTTTGAAAAATAAAAACAAAATATTTAAATATTTTTCATATTCAGTCGCAGAACCTGCAAGAATCAACTAGTTTTACATTTTTTTCGGTGTCATAAAGGGAACATTGGTTATCATAGTAAAAATGTTTAAAAATTGCAGTTCTGGAGCAGACCACAAAATATAAATGTACAACGTTCATGGGGGAAATGTATAAGATTTATTGGGGGAACATTTTTTTATGAATTCTATTTTAAAGAGGAACAGAGAAAAATTGATATTCCATTTCAAAATGAAAAAATTAAAATAAACAAAGCAACTTGACGTATTTGTATGCTTAACGGAAGAAGACACTAATATTTGTATTTTTATTATACGCCTCAAGTTAATCTACCATTATACTTGAGCCATGCTACAGACCAGATTCTTTGTCAACGGTTAGTTTGTTTGTCGTCTACGTCGGAGATTGTTAGATTGTTAAAAATATAGAGTAAGAAACATGATAATAATCTCTAAAGAACTAAAGACACTATCAGATGGAATGCGTGCTGTCACTTGTATAAACCATGTTTATTTCCCTGTGTACACATGATTTATAGGAACTATCAAAATGTCCCACCCGACAGGCCATTTTTAGTAAAAATTTATAACAGATGTAACAAATTTTAGGGTAACCCGACCGACTTTATGTTTACCAATAGGAAAGTCGTTGCCATCACAACGCAATATGTTTAGGGTATGTTCAGTGAGAGCGAGACACATGAAGCAAAACAAAATCTAATCTGTAGATAAATGTTAGCAAACTGTTTTAGAAGCTAGGACAGTTTTGGAAACTGGGGAGGGCAAAATTTTATAGTAGATTATTAATAGTCTTTTTTACTTTTAATTTAATACATAATTACAGTATTTGAAGGAAAGTTTGTCACTCAGGATTGACCTTTTCAATACAATACAATCCCCTTAAAAGAAATAATATTTATTATTCTATTTCTAAATAGTGTGACTAGATCACCCTTCTCTGATCTGATACCAGAATATGTAAAGGCCCAAGAAATTGGAGAAGGTCGTGTGGCACCAGGTGAATGTTTCCCCTACTACAAGGATTGCCCAAGAAGCATCTTCAAAGCCATACAAAACCACAAATACAGGTAGTTTCGACAAATGTCAAACAGTCAAATATTTGAAATCAAATTTTCCACATTTTCAGAGAATCTCACAAAGGCGAATATCACGAACAAGAAGTCGAAGAAATCACCAAGCCCCAACTACCACAAACAATGTCAGCTTCAGATATATTGGATCAACAGGTAGTTGATAACGAAGAAAATCCCGATTATAATGAAATCCCTAAAGATTATGCGAAAAGGAAACGATCCAGTAGTTTGTATTCCATGTAAAGAGCCATCACACATTCTACGGACTCTGGGGCAATATCTATTGTAAAAATTATATAACTTAAATTAAATAGGAAATTTGTATTTATTAAATCACTTCAATTTGTTTTGTGTAGCTAAAGTAAAATTGTTAATTTATTACAAACTTTTTGTTGTTAACTTAGAATTAATTTAAATTTTGTTTGTTTTGCACAAATGAGTGTTCTCTGAAAGTCATCTTAGTAGCAGATAAGTTTTGTTTTTTAATATTAATTTAACGAATTGTATATATTAATAATATTTTTTAGAAGATGATGTGAAGTTTATTCTATATGTTTTCATTAATTAACTAATGAAATTATATTTATTGTAATTTATTTATTTGCACACTAATAAAGTCGAATTTAAAATTGAATTATAAAAAAAAAATAAGAAGCACAATTTTTATTTTGCTTTGCAAATGCAGTTTGTGTGAAGAGATTAATATTCATTGACCATGGTACAATAAGGACGTAGAACAGCTTTGTAAAACTGCAGAAATACAGCTCTGAGGCTATGCCCTGTCAAATTTGCATGCAAACAAGTTGTTTTCATTTCTTTTAATATTTTTTACTTATTTTTAAAATCAGTTGAAAGGCGCGAAAACGAATGAAATGCCTGGATTTCTTTCAAAAATATGATATAAATAGTTCTATCTTTCAATTCCATGTCAAAACTGGCGAATAGCTTTAAAGCTCGTCCGGCAATGTACGCGTCTTTCAATAGTTGATTTTGAAAATATTGGGTTTTTATTTTTCAAAACAATAAATACATAAACAAAATTAGCAAAAATCGGACACATTTAGAAAAAAATTGTAATCAGCTGGTAGCTCTACCTTACCTTTTTACTTTACCATGTATATAACGAATAAAAGTACGTTTAAATTTACGAAATCCATTCGATCTCAAGTGTCAATTCAATAGCGTATACGTCAAATAATATTCACTGGAATTGATTATTCTAGTAAAAACTTGATCCGTATTTCTTTAAAGATGCTGCGAATCGTAAAGTAACTGTAAATGGTGAGCAATGCCGTGAGACGATATACATATTTTTTTGCCCAAAATGCAAGAGCTTGTCTTGCATGAGACGTGGTTTCAACAAGACGGTACCATATGTCTTACTGCAGCGTACAGACGAAAGCAATTATAATTTTCAAACCTTATATTATATGGACCGTACTATCAATTTAAAAGTAAGTAAAAGTAAAAAATTGCAACTATATTTCTTATATTTTAATGTGTTTTCTTTATTATAAACTTTCCTATAGATATTAAAAATCCCCCTTTAGTTTCACTGCTCCTTTTCAATAATCTTCCAGCTGATTGCGTATTTCATATGTCTCATTCGTAAACAACAGATCCTACATTTTACTTTTATCGTTTTCTTATTAATGTGTTATCCTATTTATATAACTCGCTTGGAACGTTTTTTTTTATTATTTTGTGAGAATACTTACTAAAAATATACTTACACTTAAATATAAAAGACAATGACAGGAGTATTAATGTTGAAAAATTGAAATTTCTGAAAACAAATTGCCTTGTATAAATGCAAGAGGCCAGTTCGAAAGAGAACGATAAAATTGCCGCAAGTAAACTCGCCTGGTCTAAATCTAAAGGTAAAAACACATAAAACGTTTTTTGACTGGCTTAACTCATCGGCTGGCTACTTTGGAAAAGAACAAAAGAAGCGAAGGCCAAAATCGAACTATTTCAACCTAAAACTCATTTGTTCCTCTACGAAGAAGCCAGCTAAAAAGACTTTCTCCTCTCACCTTAAATTAAATTATTTAGCTCCGGAACAGAGCAATTGTTTGGTTTATCGATGAAAAACTAACAATCGATACTATCGATAGCTTATTTAAAAAAAGACAACATCGATTGATAACACTCATCGGTTCATATTGTGTTGGTAATTAGTAAGGTTCTTTTGCATTGTTATTCAAAAATAAACAATAAATTAATAAAGTCATTAAGCAATATTGCCAATTTACATAATAACATAAAACTAATCTATTTGTCATAAAATTTCTAAATTACTCTCCGGCCAAAGCATTACTACTTTCGCGAAAACAATAACAAAGGCCAGTAGAGTATCGCACAAGGCCTTTGCGAGTCTCATTGCAGAGTGTTCTTGATTTGCAAGTTAGTCGTCACTCGGGTAATGGCCTATGGCAAATTGTGGCCTAAATTGTGATTAAATATCTCCAACAAATAATTGAACACGGGCGGTGACAGTGGATAAGCTGTATATTTAATTAAAGATTAGAGTTTGTTTTTTTTTTTATTGTTTTTGTGCTAATTATAGAGATTGTGGTGTGTGAGTGTGCAAAGAAGAAAAATCCAATTGAAAACAAGAACAAATGCCTATGCTCTCTTGAGTGGCCGTTGTGGTCGAATTAAATTTATAATAAAATCAGTTGAAGAAATTACGTGGCCGTCCGTAGAATTCCTTTAATTTTTTCTCGGTATTTGTTTAATGTAAATAAAACGACTAAGAATTTGGAAAGGTGGTTTTGTTTGTATTAAAAACAAAAGTGTGCTCAGATTCGCTTGTCGCCAGCTGTTGTTCCTGCTGCTGCTGCCACCTCTTGTTGCTTATTATTAGAACGACGAATGCCAACCAAACAGCAGACGGAAAAACGTAAATAAACAATATAGAACAACAACGCGACGCAAGTAATGAATTATGCTAACCAACTGAATGGTGGCAGTTCAAGTGGCATATCAGCCCCACCCCAAACGGTGGTAACAACAGCAACAATTAACAATAATAATACAACAGCAACATCATCGCCAGCCTTAGCTGCAGCAAATATGGTTCTCAATGACCCGCCAAGTAGTGATTCCGAACCGGAATTCATTGACAATAGCAGTGTGGAATTGCGGGGATATCTCAGCAAATGGACCAATTACATTTATGGCTGGCAACCGCGTTATATTGTCCTTAAAGATGGTACCCTGTCATATTACAAATCTGAATCAGAATCAGATTTTGGCTGCCGTGGTGCTATTAGTCTAAGTCGGGCAACCATAAAGGTAAGTTTTGTGGTGACACATCAAACATATCCATTTACACTTGGTGTAAATGGTAAGTAGGTTTCTTAATTGTTTTGTTGTTGTTGGCTATCGTCATTGCCGTTGCCGTTGGTTTATTTTCAAATTCAATTAAATTGGAATCATGTGTTCTGACTTTTGACCCGCATAGATTGTTGTCTTTGATGACCAATTTGTTGTTATTCCTCACGTCATTATTGTTTTTGTTGTTGTTGCTGTTATTGTATCGATATAATTAGGAGGCAGGGTGGTAATGTTGCTGCTGTTGTAGTTGTTTTTGAGCCATTTGGGAAACCGCAATATGGCCCCCATACATTAGTGCTGATGTTTATCTTCATGGACAACACAGTGTTTGTCTGCCAGTTTTAATTGACATGAAAGTGATGACGTACTGCTTTCTGTTTTTATTTATTTCCTTCCTTGTATGTATTTTGCCATTGAAATGTTTATGGTACCTAAAAATGATTCTATTTTTTTGCTTTGCTGACCATCGAATCCACACACGTACATATAAAAGTTCAACATGTTAAACGCCGGTTCCCCTTTGATGAGAAGTTCAGAGGATAATGAAGGACACTTGATTTTACAAGCAACATATCAACTTCTTAGCATTCTTATAATCTCCATAAAAAGATGAAGAAAACATAAGTTAAATTTTAGATTTTTTTTTTTAATTTTGGAATATAAACGGAGGAGTCCTTTCAGTTCAGTAGGGTAGTATTTTCGACGTTCTCGAATAGTATGAATTGATTAATAGCATAAAGTGCCTTTTATAGGACAAGTATAACCAGCACTCGTTCGGAGCTTTACATGTTCTGCATTGGGCAATCTACCCATTAAGCCTGTTATGAGCAGGTGTTCAGATTCTTGAAAAATTACTGAATGTTTATTAACTTAATTTATCAGGCAAACTGTTGAACTCTCCATTCTCTCTACTTTAAACGTCGATAACGCAAAAGTTTTTACCAGTGCTGATTAAACCATTATCGTATGACGGAGTGCTCTTTTGTATCAGGCCTTCTATAATTTCCATGTACATGAGTCACTAGATATTAGCAAAACTAGACTGGTATGTGCTGAACAGAATGGTATTTTCATTTAATTAGGTTTCTTGCACCACTTCAAGCCAACTAGTCTCCTTAAACATAACATCTTCAGGGTGAGATGAAAAAACTGCAACCAACTTCAGACTGCTGTCATTTCTAAGCCAGCTGTTAAAATTATTCCAGTGACAGCTCACTATATTGTTTACAAGCGTACAATAGCATTTTGGTGAGAATTTTCCAGAAAAAAAGTTATTCGTGATGGAATTCAAGCGTGATAGGGTGATTTCTTTATATTTGGCTGGAAACCCACAAGTGGCTATATTTGGAGCACAATATAATCGCTCGTTACCGTGATACTGGTAGCGTATCCCGACATCTAGGATTAGACGAAAGAAAAAAGCAACATCAGCAGAAATGGTTCGAAAAGTAAAGAAACGACTTGATCGAAACTCGCGTCGTCGTGGCCGAAAAATAGCTCGTGAGCTGAACTTCTCGCAATAATCCAGTCGGCAAATATTGAAAAATGAACTCGGGATATAGCCATTAACATTCCAAAAAGTGAAACAGAAAGCAAATAGACACATAAGAGGTGAAGAGTTGCTTCGCTTGACCGAAAGTGGTGAACTGCCGAATTTGGTTTTGTCCGATGAGAAAACATTCGTTGTCAAGCAGTTTGTAAAGCCACAAACAAAATGATTGTGTTTACTTGCTAAAGAAGTCAGCTGAAAATGTGCACCTTCGGTTGGCCACCAGAACTCAAGCGCCGGCCATGGTGATGGTGTGGACCGCCATAACAGTATATGGTCGCTCTCCGCTCGTTTTAATCAGAATAAATGCCGAATATTATCGCGAAAATATTCTGGAGGGTGTATTTAAGCCTTGGGCACGCAAACATTTTGACCGTAGACATTGGACATTCCAACAGAACTCAGCACGTGCCACCCAAGAATGGTTACAAAATGAGGTTCCTCGCTTCATTTCCAGCGCACAATGGCCACCAAAATCTCCGGATACCAATCCGTTGGACTATTGTGTCTGGAGTATTTTGGAAAGCAAGGTTGGCACTAAAAAATACCAAAGTGTCGAGCACCTCAAGCAAGCGCTTAGCCGGGAATGGGCCAAAATATCGCAGAGCAACATTCGGGCAGCGTGTGACGGTTTAATTGGCCGTTTGAAGGCCACTATTCGGGTCAAAGGTGACCAATTCGAACAAACCTAAAGTTATTCTAAACTTTGAGATTATTTCCGACATTTTTTGCTTTTATTCAATAAAATTTAAAAAAAATGTAAAAATTATGGCGTTTAACTTTGTTGCAGTTTTTCATCTCACCTTGTACTGGTCATCTTTGTTTTTTCCGCATTAGATGAGATGGATTTTTATGCGAAGCAAATCAAAATTACATTTTAATTCAGCGCCTTAGACACTTAAGCCACCAAATGTTGCAGAATTGCAGTATGAGTATTTCAGGTTGCCTAAATAATAATTTTTTTTTTAACAAATTTGTGGACTAAGTTCTGCTGATTCTACCCTGGCCCTATCTTAGCTTTTATGCCTCGAGTTTGCTACAGAATAAGATTCTGTTACGTCAGTTTATAAATTTCAATGATCATTTAAATTAATGGCATAAAATAGGCAGCCCGTGTTGACCTCTACACTCTTATACACATTACTGACCAATTAAATGGCTGAATGTTTTATATGTTTATATTTTTTTAATTATATGTTTTAAATTGGTATGATATTGAAATTTGGTGGGTGTGTTTGGACTAAGCAAAGCATCAATAATTTGCTTCAAGAAATACAAAGTTTTCACAAGATCTCAAAGAAAATGTAAACAACATAAACCTTTATGGCCCTGAATAAAATCATTCATTGCTAACAATTGTTTTTTTTTTTTTTTTAAAAACAATTCTAAAGTTTCTTAATCCCACCTAATGTTCTTGCATTTGTTTTGAGTTGAATCACATGGACGGTGGCGTCGTCTACTCAGTGCTTTCTGTGATAACAATGTAAACTCCCATTAATTGGAAGAAAAAATAATAAAAATGAAGAAGACAACAAAAAATCCCCAACAGCAATGAGGAGACAGATATGTGACGTCATTGTTAATTGAATCGAATCCAATCAACAAAAAGTACATATACACCTATATTCATTTATATTTTCTTCAAAGATTTTACACCAAATGCAATGTAGATTTTTATAACACCTATTCTCATTGTATTGTGTAAAGGTTTAGAACAGAAACTACTTATTAATAACTATACTTGTACACTTATTAATAACAACAAGTACAATGGTGTGAACTTGAAAGAAATTACTATTGACAATTCACCATTGCCAATATTTTCTATTAGCTTCTTTTGTTCTATTTTCAATAAATTTACTATACTCTAACAATGCTGATAGCGGTTAATTGAATTTAATTATTGAACGGTAGATTTCACAATTGTGGTGAGATAATGACGCTGTATATTTTTGAATAATTGCTGTACTCAATAAAAAAATAACAATTGCTTTATGAAGTAAATATTTATATTCAGTATCAGCATGATAGTTTAAACCATGTCCATGAGACAGGGGATTCCAAATAATTTGAGACAGGATATTGCATTTTTTTAATGGCAACAGAACAGAATACAATTTCAGGTCCTATTCTTGAATTGTAATTGAAGTTCGAAATTTTGGCATATCCACCAATAAAGGTAAAGACTAATTGGTTAAATTCCAGGGTGGCAAGTTCTACTATGCCTGATAAAAAGTATTTCAGGCGATTTTTTAAAAAAATGTGTGAATCATAAAAGACGCTACTCCCAGAAAGGACTAGCGTATGCCCTAACCCAATAATTGACAATTGTAGGGGTTTTTAGGCGGAGATTCTTACAATCAAGAACGCAGCCGAAATGGTAAAAGAACACTACAATAGCATAACAGGAGCCATGAATAGAGGGTGAGATAAAAAAAACTGCAACAAAGTTAAAAGTCATTATTTTCACATTTTTTTTTAATTTTATTAAATGAAAGCAAAAAATGTCGGAAATAGCATCAAATTCTAGAATAAGTTTAGATTTGTTCGAATTATGAATTATGGCCATTGTGCGCTGGAAATGAAGCGAGGAACCTCATTTTGTAACCATTCTTGGGTGGCGCGTGCTGAGTCCTGTTGGAATGTCCCAAGGCTTTAATATACCCTCCAGAATATTTTCACGATAATATTCGCAATGCCGCAGTCGATTAATACGAGTGGAGAGCGACCACCGGCTGTTATGGCGGCCCACACTATCACCATGGCCAGCGCTTGAGTTCTTGTGGCCTACCGAAGGTGCACATTCTCATTTGACTCAGTAAAGTAAACACGATCATTATGTTTGCTTACAAACTGTTGGACAACGAATGTTTTCTCATCGGAGAAAACCAAATTCGGTAGCTCACCACTTTCGGCCAAGCCAAGCAACTCTTTAGCTCTTTTTAGTCTATTTTCTTGCTGATGCGGCAAACTCATTTTTCAATATTTGCCGAATGGAATACTGCGATATGATTAGCTCACGACCACTACGACGCGGGTTTCGATCAAGTCGCTTCTTTACTTTTCGAACCATTTCTGCTGATGTTGCCGTTTTCTTCCGTCCACTTCCTTGACGACGCTACCAGTAACGCGGTAACAAGCGATGGTACGAGACACAAAAGACTTATTCACATTTAAATGCTGGAGTGCTATAACGATAGCCACTTGTGGTTTTCCAGCCAAATATTAAGAAGTCACACTATCACGCTTGAATTCCATCACGACTAACTTTTTTTCTGAAAAATTCTCACCAAAATGCTTTTGTACACTTGTAAACAATATAATGAGCTGTCATCGGACTGATTTTAACAGCGGTCGGACGAGTGGCTTTGAAATAACAGCATTCTGAAGTTGATTGCAGCGACCCTCAAAGCTATCAAGTCAAGTGCCATTAAATCGAGAGCCACTCTTGACTGGAAAGAAAGCTCTCCTTAAAACACGTGAGATCATTAAACTTTGCTGAATTTGAGGGCATAGTGCAGGACGAATGATTTACCGATTGATGAGACTGTTAAACCACCAATAATTATTACGTTAGGTGCTTCAAAAAATCTCTCATCGAAGTAGCTGGAAGAAGATGGCACATGGAATCCGGTTCCAGGGTATCTAAAGCCATCTGACCCGTCTTTTCGAGGAGAAGGACAACCTTCACTTAGTGGTAGCGAACTAAGAATCGTGGTGGCCATTCTAACACGTCACTGCAGTATCAGATATCTGACCTCAAGACTGGACAACAGTGTTCCTGACTACTGTAGACTATGTGAAGGAGAAGCAGAGGCAGAGACGATTGAATATCTACTTTGAACATGTCCCATGTTATCCAGCAAGAAACATAGGCTATTTGGCAGGTAGAAGATAGAAATGATGACGTTCTTCTCAGACATCATTATTTACAAGTTTGTCAAAACCATTCGCATGCTTAGCAGACTACCCTTCTCTCAATAAATCTTTGCTTCTCGCTTCTATATCTCTCCTTTCCCCAATTTTTTATTTCTTCCAAGGCCTCCGAGTAAAGTTGCCGAATTTGTGTAGCTGCGCACCCTTAAACCAAACCATTCCCAAAAAGGCAACTATCTTTGCCCCCCAACTGCTACTGTCATGATGCAAAACTTCGAGTTTCCCAGAACATCTTCTTATATCTTGCTATTGTAGCAAAACACATCCTTTTGCACAATTTCCAAGAATCACATTTAGGCGCCAGTCTACATTATATTATTTTTTTTTTACTTTTATCTACGTGTAATTAAATACTTTAATATAACTGCAATTTTGTAATTCCAAACTACAGTTAATTAAATTATCTCCTTTATCCGTTTTAACCCTTTCATTGCAGCCACATGAGTCCGATGAACTTCGATTCGATGTTGTGGTCAATAATTATAATAACTGGTGTCTGCGTGCCGATACGCCAGAGGATCGAATGCACTGGGTGGAAGTGCTGCGTATGTACAAAGAGGACAGTACCAGCACAGATACAACTTCATTGCGACGCCATGGCAGCACAATGTCCCTGCAATCCAACACAGTGTCCGTGGCAAGTGGTAGCAGTTTGAAAAAGACTCAACGGAATTTGAAGGAAAAAGTTGGAGAAATTGAAACATTTAAGGATATACTGTTTGGACAAATAGAGACATTGCAAAGGTAGGGGATGTACAAAATGATTTAAATAGCAACATAAAACCTAAAAGAGGGTTCTTTTAAGTTCTTTAACAATTTTTGATTTAATTAAAAAATAATAAATTACAATAGATATTGACTTCCTTAGCAATTTTTTAAATAACAGTTTATTTATTCATTTCGTACCCTTTTCCAAATATTTTAAAATAAAACTCTCTTCGACTTTTCGTCCTTGAGGTAGGGTTTAATTTTAAAAATTACTAGGGCATAAAAACTGTTTGCCATTATCCAAAGACTCCCACTCACAAAGTAACATTCATTTTCTTCACATTGCTTTCAATTTACAGGTACTTTGATGCCTGTGCCGATGTCAATAAGGGCATGGATAAGCCCCTCGATTTGGGTGATGGCCTAAAAGCTATTGATTTTAAGGTACTTTAAAATTGAGCAACATTTTATTGTCTAGCAATTTATGTGTTTTTCTCCTTTATTTAGGGCGAATCGATAACATTTCGTGCCACAACGGCTGGTGTTTTAACAACCTTGCAACATTGTCTGGAAATAATTGTGGAAAATGATGAGACATGGAAGAAGAAATTGGATAGAGAGATTGAAAAACGCAAAAAAGTCGAAGAACAAAATCGAAAATTGAAAGAAGAAATTGAAAAATTAAAACGAATATCATATCCAGGACCAGATTTAGAGGTAAGTGCATATTATAATATTTATTTACATCTATTTTTAGGAAGATGGAAGTTTTACGATTATTGTCCATCTTGAGACGAATTCTCAAATTCCTGGAATAAAACCAGTAATGTAAGGGGAAAATTTCGGACGGGCTGACTATATTGACTGCATTGATCTCTCGTAACAAATATATTTGGTATAGAGTGCATATTATGGCTTTGGGAATGAATTAACCCAATCACTACCTTTAGTACGTATTTTCGGTAAAATCGAGCTTAGAGTGCTGATTACCCTAATAGTTGCGACGGGTTAATAAGGTACAATTTTCTGTCATGTTTATTTTTATTGAAGGAAATTGCAAAAAATATTATCTTAAAAAGGAAACATATTCGTATTCAAGTTTTTTCAATACTCCATTAAAAGTTTGCTTGGATTGTAGACATGAAGTTTGTAAAATGTAAAGCATACTTTTAGGCGACTTATAATTTCCAGTTAAATAATACAGCTAAGTAACCTATTGTGAATGATAATAGAATATATGGAGAATAATATCATATCATAATTCTAATTCTAATTATATATTTTAATTTCGAAGTTAATGTATTCGAAGTCCCAACAAAAAGGTTGTTGAGCCTTTTGATTGCAAAAGGTATATCAAAATAATTTTTTAGACCCTGATTTTTTTTTTTGACTGCACACTGCGTAATTAGATCGAGTTCGAAGATGGATAATGTCTGGTACCACCCCTATATATCATAAAAAAGGGCATCAGATTATTCGATTACCAAAACTTAAAATTTCGCAACATATCAGTCTGGTTCTGATAATTATTAAATATGAATAAGAACCCAGTTCATTACACACTTCACACATTCCAATATTTCCTGTAACGCACGATTTGGTGTGAAGATGGGAATGGGATGGGATCGGACCACTTTTTCTGGTACCTACCCTACAAAGGGTCAAAACGATTGTAAAATAGACACATCCCAATTTTTGTATTTAATTTTATTTATTTCATACATTTAAATGGCCAAAATCTTATATTAACTACAACAACATTAAAACAGACTACAGCTAAGTTTTATTAAAAAAAAACTAAATTCAAAACAAAAATTACCAGATCTAATGTGAAGATGGGATATATCGGCTCACTCCTTGTAGTAGATATCTCAGAAAATGTTAAAAAAAAATAAATAACAGAAACGCTCATAAAATGCGAAATAGACATCCGATTCTCCGTTTGTAACTCCTCGAAATATTCATCAAAGATCCTATAAAGTATATATATTCTGGATCAGCGTGAAATTCTAAGACGATTTAGCGATGTTGGCTAAAATTTTGCATACATGCATATTTTCCCATTATTTACCGGAATTATTTAAAATTTTGTATTGGAAGATCTTAATGGGTATTTCGCATGCAGGTCCACGTCTTCGTATAACCCTCATATAACGGTACCTCCCGATATTCGGTATTTTCATGATTTTTGCGACATTATTTACCGGAACTGTTTCTAATTTCGTATTTGAAGTTTGTAATGGGTACTACAGCCTATGACAAAATTTTTCGTATGCAGGTCCACGTATTCGTATAGTCCTATATAACGGTTTTGATTTAGGTGGTAGTTTTCATTTTTTCTTTTTTTGAAAAATTTCAAGTTCCTTCCAAACATTTTCCAAAAATGATCACATATCTCATGTGAAGTTAAGGAAGAAGTTGCTATAGTCCAAACTTGACACGTTTTATTTATTAGATCATTGTTAGACTTAGATCAGTGGCCCAATCCTTGGAACCTTCCCATTTAAGGTCAATAGTTTAGTTTAAATGATTGAAAATTGTCGGCAAAACCGACTGATACTTTATAACTTGTTTAAATAACTAGCAGCACAGTGCGTAAATATAGGGACAATGCCACCGATCAAAAACTACACTAGCATTTTTAAGGGACAGATTTTTGTTGTATTCCTCTCAGAGAGAGACCTAAGTCCAATTTTATAACAAATAATTTTTTTTGGCGACGATACCATTTAAAGGAAGTTTTTATCATACACGTGTCTTCCATTTTCAGATCTGCTTTTATGATATACTGAGTTTTTCCTGTAATTAATTGTAGTGTTACTGAAGTTGGTTGCAGTTTTTTCATCTCACCCTATATTTATAATTTGTCAATCCGTTTGTTACACGCCTAACTTTCAAAAACAGAGTCAAATTTTAAATTCATTATAATACCTTGGTTTTTGAAATTTAAGTTTTCTAACTTGTTTTTGTTTAAAATTTGTAAAATATTTCGTAATTATATTTTCTCCCATATTATTTTGATATATTAATTAAAATGCTTCAATATTCACTTTTAGCGAATATTTTGCATGCATATTTTATCGTAACCTGTACATCTTGTTACATTTGAAAAAAAAAAAAAAAAAATAAAAATAAAAATAGTTCAATCATGCAATAGTTTTTTTAACCTATATTATTAACTGTATTATTTTTTTTAATCTACTCTTCACATTGCTATTCCATAACTTCCTAATTGGATTGCTTGTGTGTTACAAATGCTCTACAACATGGAAGATTGGTTGTTATTGGTTGTTGTTGTGGTCATTTACTTATAGCACACTGACCTCTGTTTGGAAATGTGCATATTATCTGTAGTGTATTACTTTTGATATGTGATGACGATGTTTCCGTTGGTTCGTTGCGTCCTGGCTGAGAAAGAGAAATGTAATTGTGAATGAAACCGATTGCGATGTAATATTTGCATCAAGAAAATACAGGGTGAGATGAAAGAACTGCACCCAACTTCAGACTGCTGTGATTTCTAAGCCACTCGCCCGACAGCTGTTAAAATTATTCCAGTGACAGCTCACTGTATTGTTTACAAGCGAACAAAAGCATTTTGGTGAGAATTTTCCAGAAAAAAAGTTATGCGTGTTGGAATTCAAGCGTGATAGTGTGATTTCTTTATATTTGGCTGGAACACCACAAGTGGCTGTCGTTAGAGCACTCCAGCATTTAAATGTTTATAAATCTTTTGTGTCTCGTACCATCGCTTGTTACCGTTATACTGGTAGTGGATGGAAGAAAACAGCAAAATCAGCAGAAATGGTTCGAAAAGTAAAGAAGTGATTTGATCCAAACCCGCGTCGCAGTGGTCGAAAATGGCTCGTGAGCTAAACATATCGCAACATTCCATTCGGCAAATATTGAAAAATGAGCTCGGGGTAAAGCCATTGAAATTCCAAAAAGTGCAAGAACTTACACCGCAATAGAAAGAAAATAGACTCAAAAGAGCCAAAGAGTTGCTTAGCTTGGCCGAAAGTGGTGAACTGCCGAATTTGGTGATCTCCGATGAGGAAACATTCGTTGTCCAGCAGTTTGTAAACAAACAAAATGATCGTGTTTACTTGCCAAAGAGGTCAGCTGAAAGTGCGCCTTCGGTTGGCCATCAGAACTCAAGCGACGGCCATGGTGATGGTGTGGGCCACCATAACAGCCCATGGTCGCTCTCTGCTCGTATTAATCGACCGTTTCATCAAAATAAATGCTGAATATTATCGCGAAAATATTCTGGAGGGTGTTTTAAAGCCTTGGGCATGCAAACATTTTGGCCGCAATCCTTAGACATTCCAACAGGACTCAGCACCATCGCACTCAGCACGCGCAACCCAACAATGGTTACAAAATGAGGTTCCTCGCTTCATTTCCAGTGCACAATGGCCACCAAAAAAATTAAAAAAAAATGTAAAAATTATGGCTTTTGACTTTGTTGTCAACATTTATCTTGAGCGTTTGAATTTAGTTTTGAGGTCTCAACTAAATTATAATTTCTTCTTGCTGGATTAATTTTGTTGTATTAAAGCATATATTTTTTATAATTTTTAATACTTTTATGTGGTTTTGCGGTTGAGCTAAATTTACTTTGAATAATTAGAAGCTATATTTTCTTTTTCATTTGTAATGGATTTGCAACCAATGTACTGTTCCAAATTGAGGATACATCAATGATGGTTACCAGCCATCCCCTCGCCAACATTATTCTGATTAAAAATCTCTTTTGAATTTTAATCGCATGCACTTTTTAACTGTAAGTATGCATGTACCCTTGTAAACCGCTGAAAAAAGAGCGGTTAAAATGAAATGAACTTGACCGACAATTTACTACCAATTCGGCAAACAGGTTTTTATGCTGTGACCGTTTTGGACTTTAGTGTGGCGGAAACCAAAACATAGCCGGTGCACAATTACAATTTAAGCGTTGTAAAATAGGCACGTTTAATATCAGTCAGACAGACAGAGAGACAGACACACGTACATAGCTGCTAAACAATTCGATTGATGTCTTAAGGTACCCCACCACCTTTATTGGCATTGACTTTTGACTATGCAAAATCCAGGCAGCATGACATTACAATGTCTCTGAACAGTTAAACAATTATACTCTTTGTTCTTCGATATTGGATATGGGGTTTGATATACCTGTCGACTAAAAAATTAAAATGATAGAGATTTTATTGTAGAAGACCTGTAAAAAGTATGTTATTCTTTTTATACCCTACACCACAAGGTGGTCAGGGTATTATGTCTTTGTGCAATTGTTTGTAACAGGCAAAAGGAAATGAGATAGACCCATAGTTCCTTTTGATGATCTGCATAGAATCACATTCTGAGTCGATTTATGCATGTCCGTCCGTCCGTTCGTCTGTCCATGTATTTTTGTAAACAAAGTACAGTTCGCATTTATTGCCCTATCCAGATGAAATGATTTTCACAAATTATTTGTTTAGGCCACGGACGAACCCTATTGAAATTGGAGATAATCGGTAAAAATTTAGATATAGCTCCCATCTTCGTCCGATTTGCCTTTTATTGTGCACCAAACGTGTAATATAAGCCCGAATAGTATGGAATTTTGCACATACAACCAAATTAGGCCTGAAAATAAGTATGCCAAATTTAATCGAAATCGGTTTAGATATAGCTATAGCTCCCATATATATTGTTCATCCGATTTGGTA